GGAAATCTTGGAGCAACGATAAAACTATCACCGTGAGACTTACAGGTTACGAATTTGAGGCGTGAAAACAGTCAATATTTGTATCAGGGTAGACTATCTATATCACGCATTTGGGTGCCGTTCTTCTCAAACCTCTGCATGAATGCAGAATATTTTGTACACTAGCAACTGAAATATCAAATGTACAACTTCAATCCATTATTACATTAGTTGAATATTTCATGATTTTACATTTCACTTTGAAGTCAATTTTGGCTCTCAAATAATTGGTAATATCATATGACAGGCCTTTGGATATCATATCATGTGAAATAGGACAAAGTTTTGGGGGCCTAGTCGAAATTTCCAAGGAAGTTTCCTTTTTAAACTTCATTAGAAATTTTGCTTTGGAATTTTGTGGTAATAGAGTGATGGGGACACGTGGCTATAATGCAGATTACATCTGACATTATGAACCAATATGTGATGGATATATCATACACCGAATCTTTAATACTATTCCATCTCATCCTTATTTTGAAATTGAATTTTGTGGATTCGAGTTCAGAATTCTAGTATAATAGGTTTATTTTTATTGGGGTTCATAATCTATGTTTTTATATTAGTTTAGTGATATTTGACGTATATATAAAATTTGAATCAAAGTTATTGAATTCGAACGAATTCTAAACTAATATACTAGGTCTGCCCCTGAACTTTGGGTATCACCTAGGAAAATGTCATCACTTGTCGATGATATAAAGAAAATGAGTCAGCACCTTCGTCTTTTCGACTGAATCTTGCTTTCGCTCAACTCGACTTTTTTACTGAATATTTGTTATCTCTCATTAGCATAGGTATTAGATAATTCTGTACAATATCTTTTGTATATGCTGATATTTGAATTATAATCTCCTATGACTATCACCTATTTCATTGATCGTACGTGCTAAGGCCATTTTGAATTTGATAAGTCGAACATCCCATATATTAGAATTTTGTGGATTTGAATTTAGAATTCTAGCACAACCGGGTTTAATTTTTATTGGGTTATAATTTATCTTTTTATACTTTGTTTAGTGATACTTAATGTATATATAGGATTTGAATCAAAGTTGTTGGACCCGAAAAACCCCTAAACTACTATACTAGGTCTGCCCTTGAACTCTGGTATCACCTAGGCAAATGTCATCACTTGTCGATGACATGCAGCTCTTCAATTGAATCTTATTTGCGTTCAGCTCGACTATTCAACTGAATATTTGTTACCTCTCATTCGCATAGGTATTAGATAATTGCACACTAGATTTAGGCACATTATCTAGCATATTTTTTGTATGTGCTAAAATTTGAATTATAATCTCCCATGACTATCACCCACTTCATTGATCGTACGTGCTAAGGTCATTTTTGAATTTTGATAAGTCGAACATCCCATATATTAGAGTTATTTTCATGAAAAATTGTTTCAAGCTTTAATCTTGGAAAAAAATAACGAAAATGGTGATTTTCTGTCTGGCTTCTTCTTGTAAAATTTATTTATGTTGTCAATATAAATTATGCACTTAGTAGGCTGAGTTTTTTTTAAAAAAAATTATTTAATTGATGAAAAGGTAGTTTACCCAAAGCAACGAGATGATGAGAAAGTGTGAAACTTGCAAGTTTCAATTATCTGAAAAAGATAAAATTAGTTGAGTGCAAAAAAAGGATTAAATCTGTAAAAGTTTCCATTATAAATTGCTCAATATAATTTAATGATCTCTTTTTTCATTATAGAAAATCACCTCTTTAAGTTTGTTGGACCAAAAAAGGTATAAATGCACTTTATGATTTGGATGTTTTTGTAGTTTTCTATAATCTTATGGCCTAACCAATCTACGTAATTAATAAGCCAAGTGATACATAACTTAGAAGGCTTAATTTTAGATTGCCTACTCTTGTTCGTTTGACTTTTTTTTTTTTTTTTTTTTTTTTAATTTAAGTTTCTTTCTGAAAAAATATATCGTATATCCAAAAAATATAAAAGAATTTATGTATATATACATTTTTGTATGTTATATACAAAAAATATACAAATTTTATATACTTTTTTGACTAACGAATGTAAATAATTTTTAACACAGGCTAAAAGTAATATTTGCGGCCTATTCCTTATTACTTTTTCCTTCATATGTAGTAGTTATATATATTACTATAACTCTTGTGCTTTAATGTTATGATTATGCTGGCTTGAATCGGGTCTATCGGAAACAACCTCTCTATCTATATAAGATAGGGATAATATTACAAACTTCACTTTTACTGGATTTATTATTGTTTTTTTTGTATATAGTAATTATATATACTAAAGACTGGATTATTTTCAGAAAAAGAAAAAAGAAGATTATCTGGAATAAGCCAATGACTGAAGATAACATTCAAATGTTATGTTTCTTAATTAATTAGTGGAATTGTCGCACTTGACAAATATTCTATTGCGGGGAGGACAAGGCAATTAGGCAAAGTTTCAATGGATAAAATAATAGTACCAATTAGAGCATATCACTAATTCAAGAAAGAATCATTGTCTTCTTCCACAGTCGAAACCAAATAATCAATAAAGGATCAATCAAAAATATGATGCAAAGCATAAGTTTAATTTCTATACAAAAACAATATTACAGGATTTTTACACTATTAAATTAGCTAAAAGATAATTAAATAAAACGATTGACAACAAATTAAACTAATCAACCCCAATACCAGAAGGACACTATGCAGCAGATCAACTATCTTGTTTTCTGTAACAAATGAAAAAAAAAAATTTTTGCACAAATAGTCGGTCATATTCATTATTTGTATTTTCTAGTCATATACATAGATTAAACATTGATTATACATAATTATACATGTATAATACATAAATTATATATATATATATATATATATATATATATATCATACCTCCACCGACTAAATTTAATTTTAGTGAACGGGTTNTATATATATATATATATATATATATATATATATATATATATATATATATATATTATACCTCCATTGGCTATTTTTAGTTTAAATTGTTGGATGAGCGGCTATTTACTTATTTTTTTAAAAAAAGAATTCTTTACCTAAAGAACAAATTATTGACCAAGAGTTATTGGGGTAAAATTTACAAATAGCCACTTTTCAGTTCCATGAGGTTTAAAATTGGGATAATTTCACATAAATACAACTCACACATCTGACTTGCAACATAATAGCCAGTCATAACTTTACAAATCTGTAGCCCAAAAATAATCAGCTAATATTTGAAAAAA